TACGCTTACGTATAGGCACTGACGTTGGGTGCGATACTGGCGGGTTTTGCCGCAAATCACTCTTATTTTTTTTTTTACGCTGATAGATTTATTTGAGTTTGCAAGGGAATTATGCAATTGAAATATTTCAGAAAGTGCCCAGCAGTGCTCGTTCTACTTGCGTGACAAGTTTTCAGTGTTGTTTTCATTGAGGTATTACTCAGGGAACAATGTTAAACACCACTTTTGTACATGGTTTTGTAACTAATCTTATATGTGCTTCATTTTGATTTGGGATAAGTGTTTGAACTATGGCTCGGGATTTCCACTGTGGCGTGCTTCTATTGTGACATACTCATACGTATTTTGTGGTGCGACATAGCGGAAGCGTGTGAGCATAGTTGAGAGCATATACCCTATATAGTTTAAAAATCAGCTAGAAACTAACTTCAAAGTGAAGCATTTTAGTCACTTGAAGGTGTCACTTGGGTCGAACTAAGATATACTAAATAGGTATATGTCAAAATCAAAAGTACTTGAAACACGTTATACAGCAGTGCTCTTTTATATCTTTTCAGGTTAAAGCAGAATGATGTGCAACCAAGTGGTATAAAAGCTACAAAGACTCCTCCCATTATAAGTAGTTTGCTATCAAGTAGCGACAAGTGGTTCTTTTCCTTTTGCGTATACGGCGTATGAGAACGACCCAAATTTGAGTTTAGTTCACTCATAATCGCCAAAAGTGCAGGAACTCAGCGATGAGTAAATTTGTCTCATGGTTCCCTGTGGAAAACCTAAAATATCTGCCAGAAAATGAGGAAATTGAAAAAAAAAATTATTCAGTCTCGGAGTAATACCAATAGACTGAGTGAATCCAATCTTTACTTCTCAAATTCGGGTATTTTTTCCTGAAAAATCCTGGAAAAACCTGAGAAAACATGAGGCAAATTTACTCATCGCTGAGTTCCTGTACTTGATTTCTTATTTCTGAGATAACTAAACTCAAATTTGGGTCGTTCTCATTCGCCGTGATATCACCTTGAAAGATGACGGCGCCGGTGGCTTGCGTGATTACCTCTTACCATAGCAGGCCTGGGTCCAATCTCAGTCGGCACCACCGGCATGTTCTAAGGCATAACATCTCTGATCACGCCTTCCTTCGGGAAGTAAAGCCGTTGGTCCCCGGTTGAGTTGATGGGTCGATTGGTAGGGTCCAGGTGTCGGTAGCATTGGAGCTCAGTACGGAAAACAAATCTCGCGTCACTTTTCAATAGGTCCTATTTACATTGATCGATTCTCTTCATCGACACTCTCTTTCGTAAATAACTCGGTTTCACAAATGTTTCCTGCCGTCTTCGTCGAATTAGATGCTAGATTGTTGCTTCTTCCATCGAAAATATCCGGCCGTGGCGATTCAAAGTTGATCAAGGTTGATCAAAATAATTTGTACCCCTGCTTCCAGTTTGATTACATGAGCATTATGTGTGGTCGTTGGTTCTGAATATGGACAAACAGGCAGATGAATTCTATTCCTACTCTTTACTGTAATAAGCTTGGTGGACCTGAAAAGAGCCGTTTTGTTGCTAAAGTTGGTGATGATTTAACCTTCGAAACCAAACAGAGTGCGTCTCTGTCACTTCAAAACGTAGATGACATCCATGGCCGATTACGCTTGGCGTAATCGGCCATGGATCGGCCTCACGGATCTCATTTTTCAGGAACACCTTCAGCACACCTCGTAGATCAGACCGGAGATACGTCAGACACCGCCACGGCGAGCCAGACGACGGATGGTGGTTATCTCGAAGAATTTGCGTTTGGTTCTGCATATGGCGATGAGTATGCAAAATATTACGCAATTCCATCCTCCCTATTCGCACTCGCCCGAGGATTGGAGGCGAATGCCACTTCGACTTGTTTCGTCTACTTACTACTCTCTGACGACTGTGCTGGGGAAGCAGCATATGCATGTAGGTAATTGGTGGATTTGTTAGTTAATTCGACGCTTTTGGACAATGCTGGACATTTACCACTTTTTCAATAGTTTCTTGTTGAAAATCAACATTCGGAAGCATTGTTATCAATGCGTAGCCATATTTCTGATCGATTGGTGATAAAATTATTGTAATTGGACCAGGGGCAGCTGAGTTATTAACGTTCAAAATCTTTCTTAATTTGTTACATGTTCCATTTTCGGTTTTCACAAAGTGTACCCCCATATAGAAATCGAAGACATAGTTCTACGTCAAAAGCAAGCAAACCAATAGCATTTAGCAAATTAACAAGGAGAGTTTAGGAAATAAGTAAAAGTAGAGATATTTGACAATTGATAACTTTTTATCTTTTGTAGGTATTGTTTTCCCCTGAGTTTATTGTACTCGATTACTATATTATTCTCTCAATACGCAAAATCTCTGATATATGCGGTTAAAGCATTTGAGCTAACTTATTTTTTAGTGCTCAAGTACTTACATTTGTAAACAGCCGTCAATGTTAATCTATGAACTAAACCCTACGTAAAATCGATCTTTCCTTATGTTGATGCATGTTTAACTTTTCGCGGCTGTCGGATTCAACGCGCCTACGTCTACGGAGCTTACTCCGAAGTGATTCGAAATTCGGTAGAGCTTGCCAAAAGTGTTTTGAGCTTATGTAGTTTAGAATTTGTTAGGTACGGTCGCGAAATTTTGAAATGATTGATACGTGCGGCAAAATAACTAAATTGAAACAAAGCTCAATAGTAAAATAGGTAGAATATCTAGGGAGGGAACCAAAATTAATCAACTTGCCAACATAGGATATCACATTTATTATGGTGGCACTCTTTAAGTGATAATAAGCTGTTTTTATTTTCTCTACGGTTGTATCGCACGGCGTTCGTAATTTGCGCGATTTTCGTATCTTACGTTGTTTGTGCAAACGTCCACTACGTGTGGTACTACCCTACCAGCTGTGCATTGTATTGTGTCCTATACATTATCAATAAATAATAGTAGTTCTACCTCCGCCATGGCAGGACGGTCAGTAATTCGATCGTGTTTTATTATTTCTAACCATCCGTCCCTACGTTGTAAGTTCTGTCCGTGCGCGATCTTAATGGTGCCGTTACCAACCGTTCGATATCCGATGCGATTGTCTTTGCCGTTCCAATCCGAAGATACATTCTTGAGCGCATCAGAATCAACTCAGAGGATCCTGCTTCCCTCCCAGCTGCGATGGTGTGGCCACAAAGGTAGCCATCTAGCAGAGCATGTGTAGTTCTTGACTCACCGTGGACTGCAAGGGTCTTGGTCAAGAAGCATGCTCATTTCAATGGCGAGTGCGTTTACCAGATTCTCGCGTAGTTTTCGTGATCACTATAGTGCTATCAGCTTATTGTACGGGAGAACAATACATCGGATCTACAACAGAATGATAACAGCAGAAACCATTTCAACCCATCTTGCATGCGCTACAGCACTGATTCATCGACGATACGATACGACTATTGTGACCGGCAATCGATTCACCACATGTATAGAATAGTTCTAGATAGAACTGGAATTAGGGCGTAACAGCTTTTGTAAACAATGACTTCTCTCGATGATCTCTAGAAACCCAAGGCTCGCTCACTCACATCAACGTCACCATCTGGTAGGGGAAGACTTGCCCTCCCCGTTGGTTATGTTGGTTTGCGTGGGCGGGCCTTGAGTTTCAAGAAATCATCAAGAGAAGTCATTGTTTACAAAAGCTGTTACGCCCTAATTCCAGCTCTATCAAGAGTTGTAGTTGTCTATGTCTTGTGTGAAATAAAACCGTTGGTTTTGGGGGGGGGGGTATGTTTGTGCAAACGTCCACTACATGTGGTACTACCCTACCAGCTGTGCATTGTATTGTGTCCTATACGTTATCAATAAATAATAGTAGTTCTACCTCCGCCATGGCAGGACGGTCAGTAATTCGATCGTGTTTTATTATTTCTAACCATCCGTAATACACAACGTAGGGAAGTTCTGTCCGTGCGCGATCATACGTAATTTAGATATTTCGTTCGATTCGGATTTACTTATTCAATCGGTTTACTACTCGGATGTATCTACGCGCACACGTCGAAGCATTTTTTCCATTACTATCTTGAAATAATACGGAATCCAGTGTTCAAGCTGCCAACATAGGCTAGTCCTTCTGCTGTATTGTCAAAGATAGAAGCAAAATTTATTCAAATGGGTCAAGTCTTGAAAACTAAGCTGTCACGCAGCTCCAGCTTGATACCCAATAAAAAAAGAAGGTAGAGGTAGATATTTGTATTGCCGATTTTATCTATTAGCTATACGTTCGTCCTGTATCCATCGGTAGATGATTTCATCAAACTACTGCACGCACCGCTTACTCAAGTTGTTGATGCTATGCGAGATGTCAATGAGCAACGTGTATGGCGCGATATAATCAAAAAAGTGACACTCGATTCTCCGCTTGGTGGAAAATGTGCTCCCACTCTCTCCTGACTGACTGTGAGTGCCCTATGGAGTACTCTCACAACGAACATAATCCACTGCTATCAGCGGCTGTCAAACACATGAAAATTTAGGGGAAGACAGTACAAAACGCACCCGTGGCATAAAATGAATCAGCATAGCTTTTCCTAAAATTGCTGCAGAACAAGTCTTCTTTATTGTGGTAATAAGAAAACAGTGAAAATCGCATTGGGCAATGTCGCCGCAAAGATGCCTTTTGGAAGGTCTACCCCTAACAATGTATAATTCACGCACACCGAAAGGCTTAGATGCCGAAAGCCAGCATAACTCCAAAACACAAAAGCACCTGCATCGCACAGCAGGTTTCCTCTCCGACTCTCTCTTTCACAGCTTACCACGACCATTGGGGCGAGAGTGACTGAGAGCAAAGGAGATGAAAATTTTTACTCCTGACGTGGAAAACCACTATACTGCTGCACGCGAAAGCTGAGCAAGGGAAAACTCTTTTCCCTCGATGTATCGTTCGCTTCGCTCAACGGGTCATTTCTTCAGTCGAGATTCGGCCGTTCAATTGTGCGCACGTTTTGGACTTGAAAGCTGCACTTCTACAGCTAGCTAGGCGGAAAATCGGTTCCCCCCTTTTTTTTAGAGAGGAAAAGCCATCTTGAGAGTACTTAGAAGTGAGGAGGGGTTTCGCCCTTTTGTTCTAGTGTGATATCTAGTGGTGGCAATAGTGGCTAAAGGAGCCTTAAGGACTCCAGCGCGGATTTCCTTCGCATTGAAGACAGGCAGTGCGTGTGTGTGCATCCACATTTTCAGGAATTCTCGAGAACGAAGAAAAACGGGACGGAGGATTAAAGTAAGCGTGAACGAGATTTTTATCTGTGAATGGTTCAGTAGTTAACTGTATAGCAGGATTGAAAAACGGTTTACCACGAATTTGGGCGAGATTCAAGCTAGTGAAGAAAAAAAAAAAGAGGTGTGGAAGGTGGTTGCAAAAAGTTTGCGCTTCGGTTCCCTTGATACCCAGTTCGAGCCAGTAGTGAAAAAAAAAAAAAACGTCTGCAGTTTACCAGAAAGCGGTGATCCCTGTTCGTGAGGATTGAAGTGAAACTGGAAAAAGCAAAAATGTGATCTGCTGCGTGTGGATTCGAAAAAAAACGGCGAGGAAAATAAGGTGAATGAAAATCCTGCTTTGTCCAGAGGAGGGTGTAGCACCCCACATGGAGCGAGAGAGAGAGAAGATGAAGTTTTGCCCTCCGAGTCGAGGGATCAAGGGAAAAAGTCAACGAGACGTTGAAGCACGCTTGTGAAATTTTATTTTACCCTCAATATCCCAGATTTACAGATAGTGAACCAGCTTGAATCGCTTTCTGGACCTCTGCGTTACGTTGAGAGTTTTTGATAAATGGCTAGAGTTTTTTTAAGTACATTGCTATGAGGACTGTGAACAAAGGAAGCTACTGGATACATTGGAGCGAGCTTTAGTTGGGATGTAGAGCGATAAATTGCTTTAACATTTAAAGCTTTAGTTATTTTTTTTACAGTGAACGTGTGCTGATTACTTTTGTTGCTTGCTTGCTTAAGTTTTGTGTTAATATTTGTTGGAAGCGTTACCCTCTGGTAGCTTGAGTGGGTGGAAAAGACGGCAAGGAAAAGTCACCCAACCTGGAAAATGGTAAGGCGATATGTAACGAGTCACCCAAAGAAAATCTATCCGATTCGGATCAATGGCAATAGGGCAGTAAATTATTTCTAGACGCTGATCCATAACGTCAGGTAAACGCATTCGAAAAGTTGAAAATATCGATTGGAAAAATGTGTGTGCGTTTTCCTTGCACTGTTCCTTCCCATTTTTCCCGAACCGTTCATGGTGCTACAATTTTCTTCGCTGGGCGAGAACAAGAGCAAAGAGTGAGCTTTCTCGCTGATTATTTCGGGATGAGAGCAGAGCGTTACAGAGCGGTGAGCGCAAGTGAGATGAGTTGTGAGAAACGTTACAATCGGTCAAACATTTTTTGTTGTTTTACCTACATTATTTTCCTATTTGAATTCAATGCATTGAGCTGTTCTTTAAACGAAGGTAGTTTCTGAAACAAGTTAAAGTTGTGATTTCGTTTGCCAATGAATTGAAGCAATGTGCAGTCGATCGAATATCAGTTACTTGAATGTTTTTATATTGCATCAATAATGTTTTAATATGTTTTTAAGCTGAATATTATTGTGATTTGTAACAATTATTACCATTCGGTGGTTTACAATAACTTTTAAAAATCGTTTTAGTCTTCGGATTGATCAATTTCACCAAGCGTGTCCAATTTTTGATTTGTCCAATTCATTTAGTGACTCATATTTCCTACTCAGTAAAGGGCGGTATTGCCTTTGCCATTAAATTTTTATCTAAGTACCACACGCTATGTATGAAGGCACTTATTTTGAAAGTTGTATACATCTCAGTTTTTTCTTCACAGAACGTTGGTATTCAACTTGAAAATCAAACCTGTGAAGTAGGGTGTCCCAAAACAGCAGTTTGTCATGAAACCTGGAGGCTCAGCCTCCAAATGATAGTTCAGGATGTTACAAACAAACTTTTGTATGACGGCAACTCTGAGAAATGTTGTTTAGAGGTTTCAAATTTGTGTTTTTTTTAAGTCGATTATTTTTGCTTATATTGATAAAATAATTCTAATTCTTAAAATCTTGTGAAATCTAACCCTTTTATATTCTTTACAGATTTCTTAGGGTCCAAACTATAAGATAAAAAAAAAAATCTTGGCTTGTTTAGCGTAAACAATGTTATGGTACATTTTTTAATACTCGAAAACAATGGCATTTTAGGTACATTATGGCATTAAATCGACATATCTGGGTATGAAACATAATCAATCTAGTTCAATAAAAAGATTGGAAGTTTTATGACAAACTTTGTCGAAGGAAGTATGGTCTTATGAGATATTTACGATTTACTAAAGAAGAAAAACACATTTTTGCAGGTTTGTTTTATTTCTTAATATATTCTCAGAGTTGGTTGGAAATGCTATCTAATATCACCATTAGTGTGATAATTTATTAGCTAGAGAAAGTTCTGAAGAGGGTAAGTTGATAGTTCCACTAGAGTACGGGACACAGTGCACAGTGACCTAAAAGTGCCAAAACGTGCGGTTTTTAGTTTTTGCAAAAACGGTCCATTTAAGCCATATAGTGTCTTCGGAGAAGTGTGTGCACTTAAATAGCTTCTTATTTTGCGCTTAGCCATTTCGTGATTAATCCATCTATCAGGGAGATGAAGGGCCTCCCTTAGCTGAGTCGGTAATGGCGCAGCTACAAAGCAAGACCATGCTGGAGGTGACTGGATTCGATTCCCGGTCCGGTCTAGGAATTTTTCGGGTTGGAACATTTCTCGACTTCCCTGGACATAGAAGTATGATTGGACTTGCCACACAATTATACCAATGCAAAAATGGTACAGGCATCTAAAGCTCTCAATTAATAACTGTGGAAGTGCATCTAGAACACTAAGTTGAGAGCACGCAATAAGCTAAAATGCGATAAGCTTTTAAGCTTGAAATGCGAAAAAAGAAGAAGAAGAAGAAAAATAAGAAGGGCTATTTTTTCCCTTGATTTGTTTTCTGTCGATCTTGTTTTCCGTGCTGAGCACCAATGCTTCCGACGCCAGGATGGCAGCTCCCACACCTGGACCCTACCTATCGACCCATCAACTCATGAACCGGGGACCAACGGCTTTACTTCTCTTCCGAAGGAAGGCGTGATCAGAGATGTTATGCCTCAGAACATCGCGGCGGCGCCAACTGGTATTGATCTCAGGCCTACTGGGGTGAAAGGTAATCACGCTTACCACTACACCACCGGCGCCGCTTGTAGAAGAAGGGAGATGAAAAATTTACTTTTTTTGTTTGTCGAGATAGCAAAATTGTGTCTTGAGTAAAGTTTTAGACAATATTAAAACAAACATTTTTGCACAGAATGTCAATCCTCTATCTCTTATGTTTTCAGAGATATGTCATTTTTTTGGTAAGAGCCTTCAGAAAATCATTTTTTTGCAAATAACTTTTCAGGAAGTATTTTTTGACATTAAAATGTTCTACACAAATGTTTTTTTTTTAATACGCCATTTTGTATTGGGAAGCAAGTCCCTATCTTCAATATTTATTAAGATATCCAAGGTTTTGATTCAAAATAAGCACTATTTCCAAGGATAATAGGTCGAAGTTGGGCAAAATTGGGCAAATCAAGTTGATTACATTTGAAAGTATACTTAAAATGCTGCCCAATGCATACCAAATCATTAGTCATCTTTAGTATTCTCTGCTGATCTGCTTATTACCAAACTATAGGGTCACGACTTCCCGTAGAATTGTGTTACTGTTAACAACCCAATTTCATTACTTCATTATGATGGCTACCAAGCCTTTGGGATTTTCCTTATTAGAGAGTTGAATAGATTTTTCTCCTTTAGCTTACTTAAATCTTTGGTTTTAATTAGTTAGGTAGGTTCCGATTCAACACATTGTAGTTTCATTTATATACCTGTGATCTTGACTTTTATACCTAGGGGATGAGTATTTAAGGGGGTTAGATTTTGATAAGTTCTTTAGTGGGAATGACACTGATGAAGACTGCACATTGTAGTCGAAATACGTATCTGTCATGGATACCAAAATTAATTAAGTGGAATTAAATGGAAGATAACATTTTTTTGCTGTTTTATTTAAGCATTCCGCTAACAACCCAATTTCATTACTTCATTGTGTTACTGTTGTTTTTTATGAACATTAAAAACAACATTACTACCTCAAATGATTACTGCCTATATCTCAATATAGTTATATTTCATCAACCGTTTCATACAATATCAAAGAAAAAAAATTATTCATTGCGATTCATTTCCTCGTCACTTTTAGAATTGTCGCTTACTTCTGTTTCACCATCGATTCATGCATCGGTAGATGGAACTAGAAGAGTTTGAGCATCTTCGGACAAAAGCAGTTTTGCTTATTTTGGAAGGGGTCTTATTGTTGAAATTAACGGGTCAGATGATTTAGGGACCAATGTTCGTTCAGTTAACCGCTTACTACAACAAACACCGCGAATCACATTTCGGGAAGAACAAGGATCACTGTTCGTTCATTCAATCGGTCACTACTACTGACACTGTGAATCACCTGCCAGCGAGAACAGAGACCAATCGTAGTTCAGTCATTTTTTTTTATACTACAATAGAAACCGGGACTCACCTGCCACGAGAAACAAGAACCATTGTTTATTCAGTCAACCAATCACTACAATATACACTACGAATCACCTTCTTGTTCAATCAACCGGTCACTACAATTTAGAATTTGGAATCAACTCATTTACAACACGCGGCTTTGCAACGCCTACTCTTTTTTGCATGCCTACTTCGATTTAACCGAATTCGATACCAATATTAAGTGAAGTATGAAGGAGTCTCTATGTACAAATGCAAGAAAACGATTATCTATACACGGTTTACTATAGTTTGGTAATAAGCAGATCAGCAGAGAATACTAAATAAGACTAATGGTTTGGTATGCATTGGGCAGCATTTTAAGTATACTTTCAAATGTAATCAACCTGGCTTACCCGATTTTGCAAAACTTCGAGCTATTAACCTTGGAAAAAGTGCTAATTTTGTATCAAAACCTTGAATATCTTAAGAAATATTGAAGATAGGGACTTGCTTCTCAAAACAAAATGGCGTATTTAAAAAAAAAAACAAACACTTGTGCAGAAAATACTAATGTCAAAAAATTACTTCCTGAAAATTTATTTACAAAAAAATGAATTTCTGAAGGCTCTTACCAAAAAAATGACATATCTCTGTAAACATAAGAGATAGAGGATTGACGTCTTCAGCAAACATGTTTGTTTTAATATTGTCTAAAACTTTGCTCAAAACACCAAACACCATTTTGCTATCTCGATAAACAAAAAAAAAAGTAAATTTGTTCATCTCCCTGCTAGGTGGATTAATCATGAGATGGCTAAGCTCAAAAGAAGGGGCTTTTTAAGCGCACAAACTTTTCCGAAGACACTATATGGCTTAAGTGGACCGTTTTCGCATAAACTAAAAAACGCACGTTTTGGCACTTTTAGACCACTGCGCAGTGGTCTAAAACTAAAAAAAACGTGATC